TCGTTCTTTGGGTTATCTGATTTGGGGATCCTCCAATTGGGCTTCACTCCTTGGGCCGTTCGATTTGGGCTGAATTTTTATGTGTCAACACTTTCTCATATTTTTAACTACACGGTCTTCCATAAAATAATATTATATGTAAATCAAAAACTTTTCCTTCTTTTTCAACCGCTCATTTTTCAAAAAAAAACACTACATCCATTTTGATTTCAAAAAATGGGGGCCAAACAGGGGCCTAAGTCAAAGTCGTCAATCAATTTTAACCACACATTTTTTTATGTGTGTATTTAACATATTTAGTTACTAAAGCTAGCAAAGTGTAAATTTTTATGTTTGTGTATGCCCTTATGGATAACTACACTGAGCAGATGATATACTTCCACTCTTCACCTCATTCAACTACTTCTGCTCTCCTACAACAATGCCCATGAATGCTTCCTTTTTCTCGTGCCAATTGCTTCTCTTCTCCTTTTTCTTTTATCTTCCTGCCACAAGGATGCCCATAATGTCAAAAGTACTAGTTTTGCTGCGTTTTGAGAGAGAGAAGTTCTGAAATGATTAGTCTCAAATGGCAACATTTCTTGGGTGATACTATATCTCTCATGTTTTTCATGTTCATGTCCTTCCTTTCAAAGAGAAATATTTTACATATTTTACTCATTTTCGATTTTTTTTCCCTTGCTGCCTATTCACTCTAACACAAACTTGTATATTGCCTTTTTTCAATTAGAATGGCACGATATAGGAAATCTCAGGATTCTTTAGTCTTACGTTAATCATTTTGCGATGAAACATTTATTTTTTACATGTGAGTTTACCACTAGTTTTAAAATGCATGCTTTTGTGTTATTTTTTCAAAGTTTAATTAGTACTTGATACAGAATTGAAAGTGCTGTTGAAGCCATACACGCGGTGGAAGATCATGCTGGCCACAACCACGGCCATTATCACGGTCACCGCCATAATCATGATCATGAACTTGGCCATTAACATGGTAATTCCAGTTTTTAATTTTTTTCCTGGTAGTAGAAGACGGTACAAGTTACTGTTTGACTTTATCAATATATGCACATGACTATGTTTATTGTCCTGGCTCTATGTAATTGCATTTGTGATTTGTGAAGATGATTATTGCTACCTCAACTGTTGATAATAGAAATCGAATCAACAAATTTGTTTCACCTATCCAGGATTTTCATTTCCGAAACTCACTAGTTTTGATGCTCAAACTGAAGCAAGAGAAATGGTTATTTGGAAGGGAGATATTTGAATTTGCATGCTTATCTTCTTTTATGTGGGAGTATTTATAGATTTCCTTCGGGCCTTGCGGTGATTCAGTTGTTTCGAATAAATGATAGATGATGACTTCTTATTGGCTAGCTTGTCTTAGTAATGGCTCTTAGTTTGCCCATCTCGAGCGAGCCTTTTTTCGCTCTTTTTCTCCCTTTACGTCATTTATGCCTTACAAGTAGAGAGTAAGGTTCGTGGAGTGTATTTCCTAGTTCCACATAACCTATAGCTTGCCGAAATTTTTTCCATTCATTCAGTAAAGTCTTTGGTACTAAAGTTTGCCTTGTCCAAAAGGAAAAAATGGTCAATTCTAGGTTCGATTGATATTAGCTTTCTGATCACACTCCCCATTCTCCCTCCTGTGCTTAATTGTCAGGAGAGATGAGGGACAGAGTAAAAATAGCGTAACGAGAGAAACCAAATATTTTAGAACACAGCCCTCCTCCCCCCTCTCTTTTTCTCTCCATGTCTTGTGTACAAACATTTGGCATTATAATAATTTTGCCCACTGCTTGGCTTTCAACTATGCATTCTAAAATTTTTAGTTGTTTAAAGTATATAAAGATATAGTCTTTTTGAAATCTGATACAGAACATCACGACAATCACCATTCCCATGATCATACTCATGACCCTGGCGTTTCTTCAGTCAGCATAGTTTGTGAAGGGAGCTTGGATTTCGAAAAGGTTAGGTTTACATTGATGCTTCTTAGATATTGTCATTATGGTTCAACCTAATGTGGAAATCATATTCTTCATTAAGACAGTCATATTGGGTTAAGATAGAAAATTGTTTGTCCATCATATTTGATGAAACATGTGGCTAGGTATGCTGTTATTAGAAAGGAGCGAGGACATATATCGAATGAAAGGTCTTCTATCAGTTGATGGAATGAACGAGAGATTTGTTTTTCAGGTAATTGGATTCTTTGAAGCTCTACATTTAGCTGTTTTGAAGAAAATAGTAAATCATCATCGTATGATTACTCTTTCCCAGTAGGAGTTTTCTCATTGAAGATGGAAGAAATGAAAATCGAGAGATTGCCAGAGGATTTCTCCTCTTAAAACATAATTACTAGAATCATGAAAAATGAAGTTTTTTAAACTGAAAAAAGTTTCTAGCTATTTAATGATTTTAATCAGCTGCCTTTTAACGTAACAGGGACTGCATGATATTCCACGGTTCACCAGACAGGTTGTGGCGTCCAGACGAGCCCAGGATAAACAAGATTGTGTTCATTGGAAAGAACTTGGACAAAGAGGAATTAGAGGAGGGCTTTAAGGCGTGTTTATTGTAACTCGATCATCAGCGGAAGAAATTCTTGGTGTCTTTGTTTTCCAGTTATAATTCCAGTTTTTTATGTTATAAAGGTTTCATTATCATTAGCCAAAAGAATTGTGTTGTGGCAGAACTTATGAGAAGGAGAAACATTACTCATGAATTACTTAGAAGTATACATTAAAAAGTTACGTATTTTAATCACTTGCTTATTTGCACAGTACAATACAGAGTACTTCACAGAGGCAATTTTCCAGATCGAAAAATTGCAAACTTGGAGACCTCTGAATACTTGTAGTGAATCCCGTTGCTATTCAACAATTCCTCGAGCAAATTCTTAGCAACTTCAGGCTCGGAGCTTTCACATTCAATTTCGTAACACGTACCAAATCCATAATGCGTTTCATCAAGTTCCAATTTCAGTCCATTCCATTCATAAATTGCTCTCACATTCCTGAATCCCCCTAAACACACAAGCCCATTATCCTTCACATTGTATTCTTCCTTCACTCTTCGGATTATATCCGACGAACTGATGAGCAATAGCCTCCAGGGTTCAGCCACGCATTGGCGGGCAATTGCGGGGTCAATGGGTTCTTCCTGCTCCTCGATGCGGCTGATGCCGCCGGAGATAATCGGCTTGGCTTTGATAGAGAGGACGGAGTGAGAATCAAGGTCATAGAAGCGGAGGCGGAGTACAGCGAGGTTGGAGGAGAGCTCGGCGTTGGTGCCGTCGAAAAAGACGTTTTCCTGGAAATGGGTCTTGCGGTGGTGGGGGGAGAGGATGGTGGAGAGGCGCTGGTGGGAAGTGGAATCTGGTAGACGGAGCTTTACTTCAACTTCCATTCGGTGGCTGTTGGCGGCGTAGGGCGGAGGTGAGTGGGTGAGATATTGGTGGTGGCCGTTGAATGAGTTATCAATAGGAAGAAGAAATGGAATATAAGCCGTCTACGGCAGTGGTAGGATTTGGATTTGGATTTGGATTTGGATGGGGTCCTGTAGATCGGCCCGTACCTGGAAATTCACTTTAGAAAACTATTTAGAGAAAATTACACAACCTACACTATTTTCAATAAATATTCAATTTTTTAACATTTAACTAATTTTTAAATAAAAAATACTGTAATGTAAGAAGTAAAAATGATAATCTTAAAATAACTTATTTCCTAATTCTTATTCAAATTACCAACTACTATCACTCCTCTAAATACGTCACATTGACAACTCAATTATCACAAAAGAATGCTCAATAATAGTTCATTCATATATTAGAAAATTCCAATTCAAAACTTTGCCTCTAGGAAAATTCCCCATTTTAACCTATAGATCAACCTTTTTCATACTATCATCTCGTTTTAATCCTAATTTTCTATCGTGCCTCAACGACATCTAATCTCTTGATCAAGTTCATTAACTTGTGATTCCCTATGTCTCAAAATGCTTCATTCAAATTCAAGCAATTAGGAATTTTATTCTCTTCCCTCTACATGTAATGTAATTTTGAAAGCTTCAAATCATCCATTTGTGAAATCAAGGTCACAGCCTG